ACGACCTCCCCCTGCCTTCAATTTAATCTCTGTCTGGTTACAACATTGCAAATCCAGTAATTGTCTACATTCTATTCCCAATGTATACTTCATGCATGCTTTTCATAAAAGCAAAATGGTAATGACCGTCGTGACTTGCCTTCATCATGACTTATTTGTGTTTTCAAATTCTGTTTTGGAATGGCCATGCACTACCATCAATTAGCGTTGTCTCTCATTTACATTATCTCTGATAGTCATGACCCACAGAAACAGATTTGCATTAAGGAATAGTTATTTTCTCTATAAGATGCTATGTCGATAATACTCTGCTTCATAACAAAGAGGAGTTGTGCCGAGTTGTTCTATGGATTTTGGACAACATGCAGTCCAACTGTATGGTATACAGTGGCGAAAAAAAGTATTTAGTCAGCCACCAATTGTGCAAGTTCTCCCACTTAAAAAGATGAGAGAGGCCTGTAATTTTCATCATAGGTACACGTCAGCTATGACAGACAAATTGAGGAGAAAAAATCCAGAAAATCACATTGTAGGATTTTTAATGAATTTATTTGCAAATTATGGTGGAAAATAAGTATTTGGTCACCTACAAACAAGCAAGATTTCTGGCTCTCACAGACCTGTAACTTCTTCTTTAAGAGGCTCCTCTGTCCTCCACTCGTTACCTGTATTAATGGCACCTGTTTGAACTTGTTATCAGTATAAAAGACACCTGTCCACAACCTCAAACAGTCACACTCCAAACTCCACTATGGCCAAGACCAAGGAGCTGTCAAAGGACACCAGAAACAAAATAGTAGACCTGCACCAGGCTGGGAAGACTGAATCTGCAATAGGTAAGCAGCTTGGTTTGAAGAAATCAACTGTGGGAGCAATTATTAGGAAATGGAAGACATACAAGACCACTGATAATCTCCCTCGATCTGGGGCTCCACGCAAGATCTCACCCCGTGGGGTCAAAATGATCACAAGAACGGTGAGCAAAAATCCCAGAACCACACGGGGGGACCTAGTGAATGACCTGCAGAGAGCTGGGACCAAAGTAACAAAGCCTACCATCAGTAACACACTACGCCGCCAGGGACTCAAATACTGCAGTGCCAGACGTGTCCCCCTGCTTAAGCCAGTACATGTCCAGGCCCGTCTGAAGTTTGCTAGAGTGCATTTGGATGATCCAGAAGAGGATTGGGAGAATATCATATGGTCAGATGAAACCAAAATAGAACTTTTTGGTAAAAACTCAACTCGTCGTGTTTGGAGGACAAAGAATGCTGAGTTGCATCCAAAGAACACCATACCTACTGTGAAGCATGGGGTTGGAAACATCATGCTTTGGGGCTGTAAGGGACCAGGACGACTGATCCGTGTAAAGGAAAGAATGAATGGGGCCATGTATCGTGAGATTTTGAGTGAAAACCTCCTTCCATCAGCAAGGGCATTGAAGATGAAACGTGGCTGGGTCTTTCAGCATGACAATGATCCCAAACACACCGCCCGGGCAACGAAGGAGTGGCTTCGTAAGAAGCATTTCAAGGTCCTGGAGTGGCCTAGCCAGTCTCCAGATCTCAACCCCATAGACAATCTTTGGAGGGAGTTGAAAGTCTGTGTTGCCCAGCGACAGCCCCAAAACATCACTGCTCTAGAGGAGATCTGCATGGAGGAATGGGCCAAAATACCAGCAACAGTGTGTGAAAACCTTGTGAAGACTTACAGAAAACGTTTGACCTGTGTCATTGCCAACAAAGGGTATATAACAAAGTATTGAGAAACTTTTGTCATTGACCAAATACTTATTTTCCACCATAATTTGCAAATAAATTCATAAAAAATCCTACAATGTGATTTTCTGGATTTTTTTTTCTAATTTTGTCTGTCATAGTTGACGGGTACCTATGATGAAAATTACAGGCCTCTCTCATCTTTTTAAGTAGGAGAACTTGCACAATTGGTGGCTGACTAAATACTTTTTTTCCCCACTGTATCTGTCCTGGTTGTTATTGGAGTGCTATGGAATACCTTCAACATAATCACAACCATGGTCCAGCAGTGGAAGGCTGGAGGCGTCCAGACTGTTCTGCTGATCAACTCCTCTATCTCCCTGGGCAATATATTCCTGCACCTCTCCACCTTTGGCATCGTTGCCATCATGTGGGGTGGGGTGATGTGTTGGGATGATCTGCTCCTGTTCTTCCGCGCCATTTTGTATGTGTGGCTGAGCAGCAGCTGTTTGAGCTTCTGGTCCATCGCCTGGCTGAGTGTCCTCTACTGTGTGAAGATGGTCAACTTCACCTCTGAGCTGTTCGCTAAGATCAAGACAAATATCTCCCCCATCATCAATGTGGCTCTTGCAGTGACCTTCCTGAACTACTGTGTGATGTTTTCCTCCTTCTTCACCCTTCAGTACTGTAACGAATCGTACGTAACACCTTTACGTGTTAGTCTTCATCTGCTACCTGGCTCCGTTACCTTTGATGGTGATGCTGCCCTCCTCCCTCAGACTGGTGGTCCATCTCTGTATACACACGCTGGAGATGAGAAAGAACAAGTACGAGGTGAGTGCTGACTCCTACCTGCTGGTGTGCAAGCTCACTGTGGCCCTGGTGGGGGTCTACATAACCACTCTGACCACCATCTCCATGTACTATCTCTCTGAACTATATTGCTCTGACACCAGCATTAACTCACTCCTTTCTGCGGGACCAAAGTATGAAATTCATCAAGCAAAAGTAGAGAAACCGGGGCAGCTTGATATGCTTTTGAGTTGTAGTACATTGTCTCCTTTTCAGTTCTTCAGGACAGTATATTTTGTCATTGTCAGATATCACCATAGAATTAGGAATTAGAACTTGGATATCACAACCAAGTTCTAATTTTCTTGTTGTAAAATCTATTTTCGCTACTGCTGTTTTTGGCTTTTTATCCTTCAGTGTACTGGGTTTCATAGTATTTGTTTTTAAATACCGGTGCATTTATTGACTTTATTAGTCTTTTCACCTTTTCAATGTCTTTTCTTATTGATGGTATATGTGGCTTTATTCACTGAGTGTACAAAACAGGAGCACTTTCATAGACTGACCAGGTGAATCCAGGTGAAAGCTATGATCCATTATTGATGTCACTTGTTAAATACACTTCAATGAGCGTAGATGAAGGGGAGGAGACATGTTAAATAAGGATTTTTAAGCCTTGAGACAATTGAGCGCGGATTGTGTAGTGTGCCATTCAGAGGGTGAATGGGCAAGACAAAATATTTAAGTGCCTTTGAACAGGGTATGGTAGTAGGTGCCAGCCACACCGGTTTGTGTCAAGAACTTCAAAGCTGCTGGGTTTTTCACGCTCAACAGTTTCCTGTGTGTGTCAAGAATGGTCCACCACCCAAAGGACATCCAGCCAATTTGACACAACTGTGGGAAGCATTGGAGTCAACATGGGCCAGCAAGAGTTTGAAGAATGTTCTTTCAGGTTTTGGACTGCAGAACCTTTGCATCTCTCACCAAATTGTACTTTAGATTCTATTGTTTAATTGGGCATTTTCTTTTAAGAAAAAGAAAATAATTTGAAAAATGGGAAGAAAAGTTTGAAGAATGTTCTGTCTGGTTTTGAACAGCAGAACATTTGCATCTCTCTATAAATAGCACTTTAAATAAAATAAAATAAAATTGTATTTGCCACATGCGCCAAATGCAACAGGTGTACAGCCCTTAACCAACAATGCATTTATTTCTTAATAAAAAAGTTAAAATAAAACAACTACAACAAAAAAGTGTTGAGAAAAAAAGAGCAGAAGTAAAATAAAATAACAGTAGGGAGGCTATATACAGGGAGGTACCGGTGCAGAGTCAATGTGCGGGGGTAGCAGCGTAAAAAGATGGGGTGGGGGTGCAAATAGTCCGGGTAGCCATGATTAGCTGTTCAGGAGTCTTATGGCTTGGGGGTAGAAGCTGTTGAGAAGCCTTTTGGACCTAGACTTGGCGCTCTGGTACCGCTTGCCGTGCGGTAGCAGAGAGAACAGTCTATGACTAGGGTGGCTGGAGTCTTTGACAATTTTGAGGGCCTTCCTCTGACACCGCCTGGTATAGAGGTCCTGGATGGCAGGAAGCTTGGCCCCAGTGATGTACTGGGCCGTACGCACTACCCTCTGTAGTGCCTTGCGGTCGGAGGCCGAGCAGTTGCCATACCAGGCGGTGATGCAACCAGTCAGGATGCTCTCGATGGTGCAGCTGTAGAACTTTTTGAGGTTCTGAGGACCCATACCAAATCTTTTCAGTCTCCTGAGGGGGAATAGGCTTTGTGCCCTCTTCACGACTGTCTTGGTGTGTTTGGACCATGATAGTTCATTGGTGATGTGGACACCAAGGAACTTGAAGCTCTCAACCTGCTCCACTACAGCCCTGTCGATGAGAATGGGGGCGTGCTCAGTCCTCTTTTTTTTCCTGTAGTCCACAATCATCTCCTTTGTTTTGGTCACGTTGAGGGAGAGGTTGTTATCCTGGCACCACAGGGCCAGGTCTCTGACCTCCTCCCTATAGGCTGTCTCATCGTTGTCGGTGATCAGGCCTACCACTGTTGTGTCGTCGGCAAACTTAATGATGGTGTTGGAGTCGTGCCTGGCCATGCAGTCATGGGTGAACAGGGAGTACAGGAGGGGACTGAGCACGCACCCCTGAGGGGCCCCCGTGTTTTAGGATCAGCGTGGCAGATGTGTTGTTACCTACCCTTACCACCTGGGGGCAGCCCGTCAGGAAGTCCAGGATCCAGTTGCAGAGGGAGGTGTTTAGTCCCAGGATCCTTAGTTCTATTTAAGCTCTATTGTTTAATTTATTTTAATAATTCTAATTCATTTGAAAAAAAGGGAAACAGACACTTGGATTTGATTAGATTTATGATCAATAAATTAAGTGTTTATTCTAACAAACCATGCACTTAAATAAAAATGTAAGACAAAAATATAAAGCATTGACACTCTCACTACTTGGTGGTAAACATTTTCTCATCATGAGTTAGTTGAACATCTTCTGAATCTTTGGCTTGATAAATTCCAGCATGCCATTGTTCTGAAATGTTTGTGGCAGGCTGTCCACATGCATGATGGTCTTGTGAGCTTCGTCAAACAGAGCCTCGCCAAGCTCCTTCTTTACCCTGTCTCTCCAGACACTGAGAGTGGGCCTGTTCTCAAACACATCCAGACCAGTACCAACTGGCTGAAAAACATACACACACAGGAAAACCCATATCATTTCAGGGAAAGTACAGCAATAATCTGCAACCTAGGAGGGACACTTACAACAGTTAGTAAGAGAATCCCTCACACAATAGCTTCAAAATCACTCTATGCACAACTCACTCTTCCTTACCCTTTCACTTTTGACACATTTAAAAGTTACCTGCATGATCTCTACTATGGCCACCAGGTCTGCTAGTGAGATCTTCTCCCCAATTATAAAGGGTCTGTCCTCCAGGAACTTCTCCTCAAACACCTTCAGAGACTCCTCCAAAGCAGAGTCAATTTTCTCCTTGGGGACTTCTGCACCAGTTATGATGGGAACTATTGCCTAAAAATATTTTCAGATTCTTTCAATTTCACTTGTCTATACCAATACTTATTCAATATGGTTTAAGATAATAATCCACTCCAGTGATAATATGTCTACAGTGCCTTCAGATAGTATTCACACCCCTTTACTTTTTCCACATTGTTGTGTTACAGCCTTAATTTAAAGTTGTTACATGTATATGTTGTGTCACTGGCCTACACACATACAATTATCTGCAAGGTCCCTCAGCCAAGCAGTGAATTTCAAACACAGTCAACCACAAAGACCAGGGAGGTTTTCCAGTGCCTCGCAAAGAAGGGCACCTATTGGTAGATGGTTAAACATTTAAAAAGCAGACAATGAATATCCCTTTGAGCATGGTGAAGTTATTAATTACACTTTGGATGGTGTATCAATACACCCAGTCACTACAAGAGATACAGGCGTCCTTCCTAACTCAGTTGCCAGAGAGGAAGGAAACCGCTCAGGGATTTCACCATGAGGCCAATGATTACTTTAAAACAGTTACAGAGTTTAATGGCTGATAAGAGAAAATGGAGGATAGATCAACAACATTGTAGTTACTACACAATACTAACCTAAATGACAGAGTGAAAAGAAGGAAGCCTGCACAGAATAAAAATATGACAAATCATGCATCCTTTCTGCAATAAGGCACTAAAGTAAAACTGCAAAAAATCCAACACAACACATCACTGAGTACCATTCTTCATATTTTCAAGCATGGTGGTGGCTGCATCATGTTATGGGTATGCTTGTCATTTGCAAATATACACTGGAGTTGCTTACCAAGACAACATTGACTGTTCCTGAGTGGTCTAGTTGAAGTTTTGACTTCAATCGGCTTGAAAATCTATAGCAAGACTATGATAATGGCTGTCTAGTAATGATCAACAACCAACTTGACAGAGCTTGAAGAATTTTAAAAAGAATAATGTGCAAATATTGTACAATCCAGTTGTGCAAATCTCTTAGAGACTCACCCAGAAATATTCACAGCTGTCATCTCTGCCAAAAGTGATTCTAACATTTGGTGACTCAGAGGTGTGAATACTTATGTAAATGAGATATTTCTGTATTTCATTTTCAATAAATTAGCAAAAATGTCTGAAAACATGTTTTCTCTTTGCCATTATGTGATATTGTGTGGAGATGTGTGAGAATAAATGTCAATTTCATCAATTTTGAATTCAGGTTGTAACGCAACAAAATGTGAAATAAAGGGGTATGAATACTTTCTGAAGGCACTGTATATCACTGCCATAGACTTAAATTATCAATGCTAATAGCTTTCCTTCAGTCATTAACTAAGTAAGTTATTAGGTAACTCATTATTTGTACAAATGGTTCAATAACCAGCCAAGGAGGGCAAGTTCCACTTACAGGACATCTTGGTTGGATGTTTAGCTCTTACCCTGAACCAGAACACCTTTGAGCCATGGGCTCGCATGGCTGAGTGTTGCCAGGACAGGTACTCGTTGACTCGGGCTCAATTTTGCAGGTATGCTGGGTACCAGTGGTCTGAATCTGAGGTACCAAATTTCTCAGCCATGTACTTCAGGATGGCAACACTACAAATAAGGAGAGATATATTCATTGAAGGAACTACACAAAAACCTAAGTATAGTTATGTAAGTCTCTCTGTGTAGCTTACAGTAGGCTACTTCACCTCTCTGTAAGAATGAAGTCTCCATCTCTCATGACTGGGACCTTTCTCACGACACTAATCTTGCCAAAGTCTTCTCCATACTGCTGGCCTGAGGAGCACAAAATCACAATTGTGACACCTGACCCTAAGAAAAAGTTACACTGATTTACTTTTAAGGAATAAAGTGATTTTGTTGTTATAATGTATCCAACAAACTACATAATTGTTTGAATCTACACATAATGCAATACTTGATGATCATCTATGGTGAAAAAACGTTTCCATACGTATTTCATGTTTCATGACTTTTCTGTAGTTATTGGGTCCAGTTAGATATTACCTTCTGAAGTTTAAAGTTTGCAATTCGTTGGTTTCACCTAGAATGTTCTAGCCTACATGAAATCTAACTTACATTGTCATGATAGGCTACTAGGTTACTTCCTAACTTTATTTACAGTAGGCCCATTTACTAAAATAGTTGGGTGTTTTCTATTTTCTGATTTACCTCGAATAGAATTTCACTAGTCTATATTTGAACATGCATGCAAATGTTATCCACACAAAAACTCTATTGTGTTAAAGTCGTGAGAAGATATACTAGGCTATATCGTCAATATAGACATAATAAATCACATTCCAAATATCTCGCTGTACCTGAAGCCAGATCGACTAACTTGAAATCAAACGGAATATCTGTTTTCTTTGCAAAAATGAACACAGAACGACATGGCTGAGAGTGCAGATCAAGGTACAATTCCAACGGCATTTTCACAGAGGCAGAAGTCGATATTTGGTGTCGTATTTCTTCCCTGCACCCGTTATCCTTTACGTTGGTATGGAGCCCCTCCCTATAGTCAAATGATTATAAGTGGTTGCGAACAATGTTCCCTCTAAACTGCGCGCGTACGCCGGCCGCGCACTACCTCCAGGACTGCGGAGCAGAAGAAATGCCATGCCACGCAGAGATGCAAGAGATTGAACTTCACTGAGTTCGCCCCATTAGTTTGCACTATATAGATCATCGTTTTTTCTGTGATCGAATCAACATTATATCATCCCCTTTTCAAAGCAACAAACCAAAACAAATCTAACTTTGCAAGATTGAATCTGTGATTTCTTTATGGGAGTGAATGCGCTTTTAAGATCAGAGCGCAGAGCCGCAGGTGTGCACATTTTTGATATTCTTTGCTAGTTAGCGAGTTATTAGATCCGTTATACATAAGTATAGGTCAGCAATGGGGAGTTACTGCTTCCTACAAGAGCACAAAACACGTAGGCTACATTTCAAGCTGTCTTTAAAAAGCTAGTCGGGTAAATAGCTTATGTCTTAATTAAAGGGGCAGTGTTGTATTTTGAGACAGGCTTGAATATGCAAATAAGCCAGTAGGCAGAGGAGTAGCCTACATTGTCTAATTCTCTGCATGGAATAATAATGTGTTTTATTTTGTAAAGTTGTTTCTTGCATCATACAACACAATACAATGCAATTTGTTGGTAGGCCTACATTATGCTCAAATAGCTACAATAGCCTATTGGCTATTGTCTAAAACTGTAAAGGTACAATGTCAGTGTTCACTGTAAACGTTTGCCAGAAGTTGCACAGTTGCACAGAGTTTCCGCTTACAAGACCAAACATTTTCTCCGTGCCCCAAAAAATTAGAGGGAACATTGGTTGCGACAGTTCAATGTAGAAGTGTCGGCTTGTGGTTGTCTGGGCCAGGCGTTGGTAACATTTAGAAAATATTTATGAAATCATCCAGACACAATAACTGAGCTGTCAATCATTTTTGGACTTTCAATAGGTTCAATTTATACTTCTTACAAGGTTTATGATTTTTATTTTTCTACCAAAGTTGATAACCAGTGGTGCAGTTGATAAGTATCAACTGCACCACAATTAAGATCATGTTAAGTAGGCCAAGTTTTTGTTTACTAAGCTAAAGTATGCTGATAAAGTGCCAGATAGATTAGGGAGGAGGGGGTAGTCCAGCAACTCTTTCACTCCACAGAGACAAGGGCCTAGTCTAGCCATGGTTGAGGTTAACTGATAGTCCATTTAAACTCTTCCACCTCCACTTGGTATGCAGTTGACTGCTGTAGCATTTAGCAAATTAATATAAAAACAGGTTTAGAGCTTACATAGGTGTCCCTGATGATGTCATCTGAATATTGTTATTCTTGTGCAGCAGGGGTCTCTGCAACACCTGCCATAGTCCTATTGCCCATGTTTCAGATGTTTTCTTCACTTTCACTCTACACGCACAGTTTTGCCCAATGTATCATTGTTATTATGTAATGATTAGAGCATCAGCGTGTATCTTGCTTGGAAAACAGAAAGAAACTGACTTATGAACAAAAATAGCTTTGAAGAAATAATTAACTGATCACGAAAGCTGTACATGACATCATTACAAATAAAATCACTACCATACTACATCATGGTTTGATCTTCCTTCAATCTCAGTAAGGGACCCAACCAAACTCCTACCTCATTCCTTTGTTGTGGTAAGTCTCACAGGAGGTCAAGCCAGGTCACTCATGGGGAGAAAAAGAGGGATAATGTTTCTCCCTTGGGCCAATTTTCACGACCCTGCTATATCCAGCCTATGAGACCAGGCTGTTGGGGACTGGTTACAAATAGGGTCCGATTCCAACCCGAGTTAAGCACAATTCTATGGAATGTAATTCCCTTTTTATGCACTTTTCTCTCTATGTGTATTCTGACCTTTAACTTCAGCATGAGAATAGCATGATATTCACCTGCTATTCATTTGGGGTGGAGATCAAATAAATGAAGGTTTGGCGTAGGTGTGTCTACAGATACGCCGTATTCTGACCATTACTTCATTCCCTAATAATTCCACCACCTTTACGCACGAGGAAACCATGAATAAGGTCCAGCGAAACTACCGGTTCCAAGTGGAAAAAGCATCTACTCTATCTCTATTTTTTCTGATAGAAATAACACCGTTGTCCATGCACTGTAATTTATGATTTGATAAGAGCTATTGATAAGAGCTATGTAAATTAGTGTATAAAACATTATGGACACCTGCTCTTTCCATGACATAGACTGACCAGGTGAATCCAGGCGAAAGCTATGATCCCTTATTGATGTCACTTCCTAAATACACTTAAATCAGTGTAGATGAAGGGGAGGAGACAGGTTAAAGAAGGATTTTTTATTCTTGAGACAATTGAGACATGGATTGTGTATGTGCCATTCAAGGGTGAATGGGCAAGACAAAATATTTAAGTGCCTTTGAACAAGGTATGGTAGTCGGTGCCAGGCACACTGGTTTGTGTCAAGAACTGCAACGCTGCTGGGTTTTTCACGTTCAATAGTTTCCCGTGTGTATCAAGAATGGTCCACCACCCAAAAGACATCCAGCCAACTTGCCACAACTGTGGAAAGCATTGGAGACAACATGGGCCAGCATCCCCGTGGAATGCTTTCGGCACCCTGTAGAGTCCATGCCCCAACGAATTGAGGCTGTTCTGAGGGAAAAAGGGGGGGGGGGGGGTGTCCATAATGTTTTGTACACTCAGTGTAAATTACACTTGTTTTAGATATATTTGACCTTATAATTGTTGGAGATAAACGGGAAACCAGTCATATTACAGCAAACTGAAGCATATTAACATATCAACTTTCCCACAGTAAGGTTTATGAAATACTGTGCCATTATGCAGAATTTAAATTGTACAGTCGTGGTCAAAGGTTTTGAGAATGACACAAATATTAATTTTCACAAAATCTGCTGCCTCAGTTTTTATGATGGCACTTTGCATATACTCCAGAATGTTATGAAGTGACTCCCGAGTGGCGCAGTGGTCTAAGGCACTGCATCATAGTGCTAGTTGTACCACTAGAGATCCTGGTTCGAGTCCAGGCTCTGTCGCAGTCGGCCGCGACCGGGAGACCCATGGGTGGCGCACAATTGGTACAGCGTTGTCCAAGGTAGGACAAACAAAAAAACATGTATGCATTCACTAACTGTAAGTCTCTCTGGATAAGAGCATCTGCTAAATGACTAAAATGTAAATGAAGAGTGATCAGATGAATTGCAATTAATTGCAAAGTCCCTCTTTGCCATGAAAATGAACTTAATCCCCCAAAAACATTTCCACTGCATTTCAGCCCTGATCACATCATGTCAGTGATTCTCTCGTTAACACAGGTGAGAGTGTTGACGAGGACAAGGCTGGAGATCACTCTGTCATGCTGATTGAGTTAGAATAACAGACTGGAAGCTTTAAAAGGAGGGTGGTGCTTGAAATCATTGTTCTTCCTCTGTTAACCATGGTTACCTGCAAGGAAACACGTGCCGTCATCATTGCTTTGCACAAAAAGGCAAGGATATGTCTGCTAGTAAGATTGCACCTAAATCAACCATTTATCGGATCATCAAGAACTTCAAGGAGAGAGGTTCAATTGTTGTGATGAAGGCTTCAGGGTGCCCAAGAAAGTCCAGCAAGCGCCAGGACCGTCTCCTAATGTTGATTCAGCTGCGGGATCGGGGCACCACCAGTGCAGAGCTTGCTCAGGAATGGCAGCAGGCAAGTGTGAGTGCATCTGCACGCACAGTGAGGTGAACACTTTTGGAGGATGGCCTGGTGACAAGAAGGGCAGCGAGAAAGCCACTTCTCTCCAGGAAAAACATCAGGGACAGACTGATATTCTGCAAAAGGTACAGGGATTGGACTGCTGAGGACTGGGGTAAAGTCATTTTCTCTGATGAATCCCCTTTCCGATTGTTTGGGGCATCCGGAAAAAAGCTTGTCCGGAGAAGACAAGGTGAGCGCTACCATCAGTCCTGTGTCATGCCAACAGTAAAGCATCCTGAGACCATTCATGTGTGAGGTTGCTTCTCAGCCAAGGGAGTGGGCTCACTCACAATTTTGCCTAAGAACACAGCCATGAATAAAGAATGGTACCAACACATCCTCCGAGAGCAACTTCTCCCAACCATCCAAGAACAGTTTGGTGACAAACAATGCCTTTTCCAGCATGATGGAGCACCTTGCCATAAGGCAAAAGTGATAACTAAGTGGCTCGGGGAACAAAACATCGAAATGTTGGGTCCATGGCCAGGAAACTCCCCAGACCTTAATCCCATTGAGAACTTGTGGTCAATCCTCAAGAGGCGTGTGGACAAACAAAAACCCACAAATTCTGACAAACTCTGACAAATTCTGACAAACTGAAGTTAATTGACAGCATGCCAGTGCGGATTGCAGAGGTCTTGAAAAAGAAGGGTCAACACTGCAAATATTGACTCTTTGCATAAACTTAATGTAATTGTCAATAAAAGCCCTTGACACTTATGGAATGCTTGTAATTATACTTCAGTATACCATAGTAACATCTGACAAAAATATCTAAAAACACTGAAGCAGCAAACTTTGTGAAGACCAATACTTGTGTCATTCTCAAAACTTTTGACCACGACTGTACTGCCTTTTAACTTGCAGGGATGGGCACTCTCTAATGTCTAACAAGAACACATATTCAACTGCCAATTTACTGTTAGATCCCTTCAGTTGGTATAGCCTACACTACCGGTCAAAAGTTTTAGAACAGCTACTCATTCAAGGGTTTTTATTTATTTTAACTATTTTCAACATTGTAGAATAATAGTGAAGACATCAAAACTATGAAATAATATATATGGAATCATGTAGTAACCAAAAGAGTGTTAAACAAATCAAAATATATTTGAGATTCTTCAACTAGCCACCCTTTGCCTTGAAGACAGCTTTGCA